CCGCGTGCTTCGGCGAGACTTTGTTGGCGAAGCTCCTCAGCTTCGCGCCGCGCCAGTTCTTCTTCCTGCTCCACGGTAAGTTTCTTCGACGAGTCGCATCGATGAGAGTAGATTTCCAGAAATTTCTCGTGGGTGTAGGGTCGCAGCTCGCCATGCGCATCAAAGGATCCAACGCCAGTACCGCGCAACATTCCTTGCAGGTGTTGGGAGGGGGGTCCGATGAGGGGGTAATCTCGCGTGCCGAACACGCCGTGCGTGGTGATCTCAAGTTCGAGTTGCGGCATTCCTTCTTCAGGTGGCGCGTGGCGCTCTGCTTCGGCGATGGCGGCGAGTCCGCGACCGGCGATTGCGCTGGTTGACGCCGTTGGTGTGTGGCAGTCCCTGCAGATTCCATCCGCGTTAGGGTCATACAGCGCCACTTCGCGTGGGTGGGGGTGATGTGGTACCCACGGTCTTCTGTCAGGTGCTTCCAGTCCCTGCGGTGAATGTGCTCGAAGCGTAGTGGCATGAGATCGATTAACTCGTGCGAATCGCCGCTGCAGTCGGGAATGTCGAAGTCCAGGACATACACTCCATTTTCGGAGTGCGCTCGTCCGATCTGCCTGCGGGGGAAGGTTCGTGATTCGTAGTGCAGCAGGATGTCGCGTGTCTCGCGATCCGTGCTGAGGTCGACGCCGCAGTCCATGAGCTGTGCGGCGGAAAGCAAGTTGAAGCGCAGGTTCTGGATGATCAGCACGTCGTTGAGTGTGATGTGCGTGCGGCTTCCTTGTGCCTTGAGCACGACGATGCCTTGCGCGCTTGCTCGCAGGCGTGTGTTGTTGGCCACGGTGACGTAGGTGACTATGAGGGTGGCAACGGCGTTGGATATGTAACGCTCGGAGCCCACCATGTGCTGGCCGCAACAGCTGTCTAGGTACCAGGTATTGTAGCGCTTTCTGTCGTCACGTGCGAGCAGCGTTAGTCGCGGCGTGACGATGTGCGGAGTGTCAAACTTCAGAAATTGTTCGCGCGAGAGCTAGCCAAGTGGCGCCACCCGCATATCAAGTACGTGCCGGGGACTTTCAAGCAGCGAGACTGGAAGATTCCAGTCCTGGTCGTCGTCGTCGGTGAAGTCGCGGCGCGGACTGAACGGGTTGTTGTTGGAGAACGCGCCAATGGGGTGCGGTGCTGGCTCGGGTGATGGTAAGCGCACGCGGCGACGACGCGACTCGCCTGTCATGGCCATGTTGCTCATGACATTGCGTACTGGGGCAGTCGATGACGGCTGCTGCTGCTGATGCTGAACCGCTGGGTTCAGATTGCGCGCGGGTGGGGGTTGATACCCCTGGGCTGGACGCACGTCGCCTCGTGCGTCTTGTCGGCATGACCAGTTACTCGGATTGGTCTGGCGAGGGCGAGATCGGAATTTACATCGATCCGCCAGGTGCCCGAAATTTCTGCAAATTTTGCAGTAGAGGCGCCGCGGCTTTCGCTCTTCGTTGTTGTCGACGTAGAATGCGAGCCGTTCTCGTTCTCGTCGTGGCGCTGGTCGCTGCTGGTCCATATCCCGTTGTTTGACAAGAAGGGCGGCGCAAAGGGCGGCCTCCGAGATGACCCCCTGCTGTTGGAGAAGCGCCTTGCAGGGCCGCCACTCTGGGCCGAGCCCTTGAAGTACGATGTTTACGAAAATTTCTTCCGAAATCGAACTTCCCAACTTCGCGATTTGATCGCGAAGGCTCCGACAGCGATTGATGTAGCTGTTGGCCTTCTCCCCTGGGGCCATTTTGGTTTCCAGCAGCTGCTGGAGCAGCCGACTCGAAAAAACAGAGTCCTTTGGCTGATACACGCCGTTGAGGTGGCGCCAGGCGTCGAGGGCTGGAGCGGCTGATGTCTTGTATGAGCGAATGCTCAATTGCTCCGCCGGCGACATGTTCCGTAGGAGCACCCCGTACGCCATCAGAGGTTCGTTGTAGTATCTCGCCTTTGCGTCGTCGGTATCCTCGGTAGGCTCCGTGTAACTTCCGTCGAAATAATGAAATATTTGGGCGTTTTGCAGCAAGAGCTCCAGTTCGAAGCTCCAGGTATAGAAATCTATGCCGTCAAAGCAGGTGCTTGTCTTTATTTTTGATATGCTGAGAAACCTTGATTGTGCAGAGAGAATTGCCTCTTAACTGGGACGGGGAGCCTTGGGGGTTGAGCCATTTGTGTCGAGGGAGAAAGTGTGCGGGGCGGCGTTCTGCCCAGTTGGGGCCGGTTGAGAAGGTTGAGAGGATGTTCCCGCATCGCCGTTCCGCAATGTTTGGAGCCCTTGCTCCAAGCTGGTGAGTCACTGAAGAAGTTGTGCGAGGACTTCGGTCCCGATCGTCGTCGTTTCCTCACTTGTCGCAGCCGGATTGGTTTGCGCTTCAGCCGTCAGATTGGTCTGGCCACCAGATCCTCCGGCCGTTCTCACACGCGAGCGTGTGCCGGACGCCACTTTCCGAATGTCGTAATTTTCGAGAATGGCAGTGCGAAGGATTCCCGAGTCGCTCTCATACCATGCTGCGATCAGAAGATGATCGCTGCCAGGATCTCGTCGGGAAGGTTCGCACGCAGTTAGATAGACTAGGTGGGCCCTTGACCTCAATAGCAGAGTGAATGTAAAATGCTTGAGATGATAAAACATGCAAATACAACGATATAAATAAGAGTACAGGGGAATACGAATCGACCTAGCTAGCCATGTACCCTAAGGGGTACATTCCCTTATTCAAATTCATTCCCAACCGTGCGGCGCGTACGGTTACGAAACTGTTCCCGCCAGAATCCCTCTTGCCTGCAACTGCCCGATGCCGACTGCTCCGACTATCCAGATCCATCCCAACCGTCTAACGCTTCGAGCTAATTCTGACTCTTCACATTCGTTCTCGATACTGCTTGCTTCCTTAGCTGCGGTGAGGAGTGCACAGTAATGTTCAGACATTACTATTCGTAACACGGTCCCTGGCAGAAGCAGCAGGACAGCGACGGATAGTGCACAAGGTACGTCACATTACTGAACGGGTCTTCCTCCACGTGACGCCAGTGGTATTTGTCCCGGGATGCGGGACCACCACGTCACGGATCTTATCCGTGTCGAAGCCCGAGACTAGGTCAACCACACGGTGGAAACCCGCGCCTTGCAGGAACGCCAGACGACCGCGCTTTTGCAGCTTCGCGACCGCAAGCGATCATAGACAATGAGCGGCGTGATCTCCGCTGGGACCCCGTTAAGCAGAACTTCCACCCCCTCCGGCAGGTCGCTTTTTGCCTTCAAGAAAGCGCGGTTGACCGGGTGCTACCAGCCGAAGTGATGCTTCGTGGTTCCACGTGATGATCTAGATTTTCATGTTACCGTATCACCCCGGATATAAGCGCAGGCCTATGTTAAGCGCATGCGCTTATATCTGGAGCAATGCGCTTATGGCAGATCCTCGATTATAAGCGCACCCCCTGTAAAACCTTGACTTGTTATAAGCGCATCAATAATTATACTGTTAAATCCTGATTAACACTGTAACGATTTCCCTTTTGCAGCGAGTCCAGATCCGTTCCTACTTTGTTTGACTCACTCGGGCGAGCGATTCGCAGGAGAAGCGAAACGGCGCGAAGCGGACTGACTGACAGCACATCGTTGGGAGGGGTGGGGGAGGGAAGAGGGGCGCTGGAAACGACTGTCCTGTGCGTTGTGCGAGCGAAAAAGGGGCGGGCGGGGGGGCTCGGGAACGATTGTGCCTCTGCGCTGCGAGCAAGCGACTCCGTGCGACTGGCTCGTACATTGGTTCGGGGCGAGCTTGACACATCCCTCTGCGAAGTGACGTGTCCTCGCCCCTATGCGCAGGGCTGACGTTTCACATTTGGGTACACTGATGGTGCAAAAAAAAAAAAAAAAAAAACTCTGAGGGCACTTCGGCCAGATTTTGGCCACTCTGATGGCTCAGTCTCCAGGAAACCCTTTCCCTGTGGTCACAGGGTTGGCGAACTATGATCAGAGTGCTGTTTCTATCATTTTTTATTTATTACACAAGCACTGTCAACAATGCCAGGCCGGGTTTAGGGTTCACACAAGACAGCACCAAGAATCCTACTCTGTCGGCTGATCTATGTCATACATCTCCTCCCCCTCCTCGCCATCCGAGAGGAACGGGTTAACATCTTCCTCTGAGTAATCTCGGGGCGGTGACTGCTCTATCTCCTGATCCATCTCCAGGTTGTCGTCACGATCATCGTCTGACTCCGCGAGCTCCTCCTCGCCCGCCGGCTCCCTGGGTTCCTCCTCTTCCTCCTCCGGTTCCTTCTCCTTTCGCTTGCGATCGTCAGATGGGAACAGAACGCTCTGCGCAGGGCGCCTCTTCTTGAGGCTCTTCCAGGTGTCGAGCACCCCAGGCCAGTCCATCTCGTACTGCAGCAGCGAGATCTGCATCAGCTCCGCGAGCCGCGCGTTGCAGAGCTATGCGGCGGCAGAAATCGCCCTCGCGCGATTCTCTGATTTGGGACGTTTTAATGTTTCGATTCGATTGAAATTGCACAACTGAGATGCACAATTTGGTGAGTTCAAAACATATTTCAGTAATTGTCATTTTATAAGCGCATGCGCTTATAAATATGACTCAATTATAAGCGCACCCCCCTAAAAAGCACTGTTTTATGATAAGCGCACCTGCTCTTATATCCGGGGTGATACGATAGATTGAAACAACCCTTTCTGCAGGAGTTGCATGCACAAACCTGTGCTTGCGATACAGTCCGAACCTCAAACCAGCCCTATAGTGGATTTCGTTGATGATTTCGCTTTATACGGTAGTGTACTCCCAACACTGTAACTCGAATATTTACTTTCTTCATCCATACACCAACAAACGAGCTAATCATCATTAGACACATGCCGGCACTGCACAAGCGAACATCTGAGCTTTGCACTGGGCACCTCCTTAGCGAAAACGATTTTTGAAAACACCTCAGAATCAGCAGAAATCAAGTAACCAGGCAGGCCAGGAGGTGCTCTAAGCCATGCGCTGCGCCACCTCCTTGGCGAGAATGCGCTCGCGGGCCTTCATCTTGGCCTGCGACTTGATGCCCATGATGCCGCCGCCCCATTGGCGCCTCAACTCGTCGCCCTTGTCGTTGAAGTGCGCCTGGGTGGGGGGGGAGGTGGAGGGGGAGGGGGAGCGGAGCGAGGGGAAGCAGACACAAGGCTTAGCCCCATTGGCTCTGACAGCCCCATTGGCGCCTCAACTCGTCCCCCTTGTCGTTGAAGTGCGCCTGAGATGGGGGGGGCGGGATTGAGCAGAAATCAGGGAACATTCAGGGTTTAGATGGGGAGACACATGGATGGCTTTACACCAAAACAGCTCCATTGGCTACGTCTGCCTTGTCCGACCAATTCGACTTGACTCACCTTGACTCACATTGACTCACCTTGACTCACCTTGACCGACTCAACAACCTTGCTGAGCCTGCTCTACTGACCCCACTGATTTGCCCCTGACCTTGTCTTTCTAACTCCTTCTGACTCACCCCATTGACCCGCGTTGACTCACCTTGACTGACTCCACAATCTTGCTCAGCTCGCCCTTGTCCTCGTTCTTCACCGCTGTGAGCGCCAACGCAGTGGCCGTCTTCTGGTGCACCACCTGCGGTACGACAAGTCAGCGGTCACGGGATCATGGGTGCGTAAACAGAATAGAGGGGACAAGTGAGCAAGGCAGGCACAGGGGGTGCTTCCTATGCAGCTGTCAGCGCCAGGGCAGTGGCCGTCTTCTGGTGCACCACCTGCGGTACGACAAGTCAGCGGTCACGGGATCAAAACAGCACACGCACGCACGCACGCACGCACACACACACACAGACAGGATGGAGGGAATGCAACGGTCAAGGGGATGAGCACGCAATCAGTTCTTTGCACCCTCTGTCAAGGCAGAGGCCGCCATCTGGTGCATGAGCGGTCAGGGGACAACAGGGTCAGTTTTTTTAGAATTCTCAAGAGACGCACAACCAGTAAGGTATGGTGCATCATCTGCCAAGCCAGCGCCGAGGCAGAGGCCGCCATCTGGTGCATCACCTGCGGTATGATAACTCAGTCAGGGGGACGCAGCAATTAGGGGACTTGCTCCTGACAATGCAGTAGGGCACACACATCTTCAGCAGAGTGGTGTATCATACCGCGTTGACTGCGTTGACTGCATTGACCGTCATACCGCGTTGACTGCGTTGACTGCATTGACCGTGATACCGCGTTGACTGCGTTGACTGCATTGACTGCTCTGAACCTCAGCTGTCCACGTAAGGACTTGCTCTTGAGGATGCAGTAGGGCACGCCCATCTTGCGACAGAGCGCTGCACCTGACCACATTGCCTCTCAACCGCTCTGAACCTCACCTGACCGAGTCGGGACTTGCTCTTGACGATGCAATAGGGCACGCCCATTTTGCGGCAGAGCGCGGGCAGCCAGATGACGAGCTTGGCTAGACTGCTCCTTACACCCCACCCAACCACACCCAACCACACCCAACCATGCTCAGCCATGCTCTCAACCTTGCTCACCTGTCCAAGACGGGACTTGCTCTTGACGATGCAGTAGGGCACGCCCATCTTGCGGCAGAGCGCGGGCAGCCAGATAACGAGCTCGATGGGGTCCACGTCGTGCGCGATCACCACCAGCTGCGCCTTGCCCTGTTGGGAGAGCCAAGTGGGAGAGGGCGGGAGGGGGTTGTGGGTTAAGGGGCGGAGGAACATGGGTGAAAGGGGGGGGCACTGGAGGGAGGAGGGGAGAGCCAGATGACGAGCTCGATGGGATCCACGTCGTGCGCAATCACCACCAGCTGCGCCTTGCCTGTATACAGGAGCGTAAAGGTGAGGTGGGGGAGGGCGGGGGATAGGGGGGGGAGAAGAGGGGGAGGGGACGGGGAAGGGGAGGGGGAGAAGGAGGGGAGTGAATTTGAAAGTGGGGAAGTAGGGGATACACCCTTGCTTCCTTTTACACACCCTATGTAATCCCCCTAGTCCTCTCTTCTCCTCTTCCTCTTCTTCCCCCACTTCACCACACCCATCTCTCACCTGCTCGATAAGGTACGTGATGTGGTTGATGCCGCACTTCACCACAACCGGCTTCTTCCGCCTCGGCCGCCTTCAGCCCCTCTATGTGCCCCTCTCTCCCCTCTCCTCTCCCCTCCTCACCTGCTCGATAAGGTACGTGATGTGGTTGATGCCGTACTTCACGACAACCGGCTTCTTCGACTCCACCGTCTTGCCCTCCTTCCCGTCCGTGGCCCCCATACCTTTACCCCTGCCCACCTGCTCGATAAGATAGGTGATGTGGTTGATGCCGTACTTGACGACAACCGGCTTCTTCGACTCAACGGTCTTGCCCTCCTTCGCCGCCTCGGCCGCCTTCAGCAGTCGCTCCTTCTTCGCCGCGCGGTCCTCGGGCCGGTACTTGAGCAGCAGCTTGAACAGCGACGTGGCTGGGGCGGGGGTGATGAGGGGCATTGCCGCAGGGGAAACGGGCAGGGGGCGGGAGGGGGAGAAACGGCAAAGAGGGAAGAGGGGTTGAGCTCAGCCGCCTTCAGCAGTCGCTCCTTCTTGGCCGCGCGGTCCTCGGGCCGGTACTTGAGCAGCAGCTGGAACAGCGAGGTGGCTGTTGGTGCGTGTGCGTGGGTTGGAAGTGGAGTGGGCAGGGGGGAGGGGGAAGGGGAGAGGGGAGAAGCGGCAGGAGACGGACCGGGGGGTAAGCCCTGCCGCCTTCAGCTGTCGCTCCTTCTTCGCCGCGCGGTCCTCGGGATGGTTAATCAGCAGCAGCTTGAAGAAGGGGCCGGGGCCGAAGGAATAAGGGAAAGAGGAATGCAAGATGAAGGGGGAACAGCGCTGGGTGAGGGAGGGAAAGCACGCGCATACCGAGGCTCTTGTCGAGCGTCTTGGTGAACTGGTTGATGGCGGGCGGCACCTTGAGCCGCTGGTTGAGCACCCGGCGCTGCCGCTGCAGGCGCACGTACTTAGGCCACTTGACGAACCGGTGCAGGTTCTTCTTCGGGGGCAGCGACCCGCCGATTCCGAACGTCTTCGGGCGCCTCTCGAACAGAGGGTTGGTGACCTTGTCGGACTGGGGGATGGGGCGCGGGGAGAGGGGGGGGAGCGGGTGCCGAGGGAGGGAAGGGGGAAAGAGGGGTGGGGAAGGAGGCGAGAGGGGGAAGAAGGGAGGAGAGGGTGAGGGGGAAAGGGACGGCATTGTACTTGGGCCACTTGACGAACCGGTGCAGGTTCTTCTCCGGGGGAAGGGACCCGCCGATTCCGAAGGTCTTCGGGCGCCTCTCGAACAGAGGGTTGGTGACCTTGTCGGACTGGGGGAAGAGGGGGAGGGCAGTTGCTGGGGGAAGGGGAGAATGGCGGAAACGGAACGGGAGACGGGGTGGATGGGGAATTTTTTTTTTTTTTTAACGTGGCGATTTCGAACGTTTTCACTCACCCCCTATACTTGCCCTTCGAGTAAAACCCTAGCCACTGGAACAAGCAAACATTCGAGGAGCCGCGACTCACCTTCTTGCCCCTGGAGGGAGCGGCCGCAGCGGGCTTCTTGACCTCAATTTGCCCTCTCGGGGTCTTACCCTTAGGCGCCTGTCAACACGCCACCACGCCACACACCATCACGCCAGCGTGCCCATAAAGCCACCAAGCATTCATGTCAACACACCAGAACTCGTAGGGCCAAGTCAAGTGAACTCAAGTCAAATTACACAAACGTCGCAGCGCCCTGTGACGTCTCGCTATCGTGGCGGGGAAAGCGGACATTGAAACGGATGATTGTAGCAGAGAAACGCAGCGAACCACAGCGTGCGCGAACCTAAGCACGAAAGACAAACGACCACGTTCGAGTAACCGCGATAAACGAACCGCACGACATAGACACGAAAGGTATGCAGTAACGCCGTCCAGCTAGAGCTTTAGCCTCAGACACGGAAGTACTACGGCAGGCGTCCTGCATTCCACACTAGTCTCACAACCCAAACATTCGTTTACAAACTTCGAAAACGACGATCTGGCCGCCGCTTGAAGTTACTGCATCTGCACTACACGTAAGATACCGAATTGCCAAAGTCACAGTAAGAAATCTTCAATCGCCGTTTTGTCGCATCGCATCGCTGGGGCGCGCACGAATGGGTCACACTCGAACACGCCTATTCCGACATGCATCGGCACTGTTCAACAAAACTTCCCGCTCTGGTGGATCGGCACAGTTCCGGACGATCCCACTCTGGTGCGACCTCGGTCAGCCGATCCCATCCTAAACCTAACGATCTTACGAAGAGACTCGCAAGTGCCCGTAAACCTATTCCGTCACGTTGACAGGGGAGAGAGGGAGGGAAGAGGGGCAAGAAGGGTGGAAGATTGAGCGTTAAGATTAAGCGCAGAACTGTCATTTGCTCGTCACTGTAAAGCGTAAGATGCGCGTGCATCTGTGACACCGATACCAATCTTTCACTAAATAAATCAAGAGCCGCTCGTCGCTCGCTTGGAACGTGTGCTTGTACCGCCGGGTTGGATCGTCGCGGCTCCTGCTGACTCTACTGCGGAGGCCAGCCGACTACGCAATCCGCGCCAGCGACGAATGCGCTAACAGGCGCAGTTCAAAGTTTCCAAGAAAAAACGGCATGCGCGGCCCAAGGAAACCGCGTCTCGAGAAGATACACGAGTTTCGAGGCGCCTCAAAAGTCGAGCATGCACGAGGCCGATCTAGAGCATGCGCCTCAATCCGAAATCTACGCGAAACCCTACGCCACACGAATCCTTTGCTTCGCTCACAATCCTGAGGAATGCGTCAATCAAGTTCTGTGCGGGAACCCTAAAGTTCTGCTGCCAATACGCCGCCAGTCACGGGCCACTGATGTCAGCTGCAACAACCTCCCGAACCGCACCTGCCCGTCCCACGCTTGTTACTCTAAACCTGGAGCAAACCCGCAACCTGTTAAAAGTTCTAGGGCGACCTGCCGTGACGTCCAAATATTTAGACGACCCAGAAATCCGCAGTCCGCAATCTGTATAGTAGCCGACCTGTCGTGACGCCTAAGAGAGAAGAGTAAGCTGTCCCACAATCTCCGGCACGTACCATTGTGTCGTGTGGGTGATCCCTGTCAGCCTCTCGTGACTAGACTACAGAGGGAAGGGAAAAGGGGATTTGACACGAAGAGAAGAGGCCTTGTAGGGCAGAGCCTTCAGGAAGGTAAGCGGGGGAAGAGAGGAAGAAAGGAGGCAGAGGGATTGAGGCGATCAAAAATAGCTCAAGGGGAGGGGATGGACAAGAGGAGCGAAGGGATGACGAGGCGAGAAGAGAGGAAGACAAAGGGATTGGTTTGGGTTGGGATGGTTTGTGAAGATTACCAGAACGTTGTCTGGCTTGTGGAGATAGGAGGAGGTGGAGAGAGTAGTTGTGGGCACGCGGGGAAGGGTTGGGGAATCTGGGGAGTGTGAGCGGAAGCGGAGGCCGTGGAGCGTGGGGAATGAGCGTGGAGGGCAGAAAACAGAAGCGGGAGGGTTGTGAGAGGAGCAGGGCAGAAGGGAATAGTCATTGACTTTATGGCTGTTGCTATATTACCGGTACACATGATGGTATTAGGCACGCGCTTTTCACAATAATACACTTCAAGAAACTTGACTACAACTGTCTATAAGCCTTTGCACTATTTCGTGCATTAAGATTCTCATGTGGCAAAATTCAATGTCTTGTTCATATAAATCGACAAGTATCTAGGTGGCAAGCCCCCAATAATAGGCGAAAAACAAAACACCGATTTGCCAAAAAGGCAGATTTTTAGTGCGTGTTTCGAAATCTTACGTGTTCACTCTATTCTTGGCATCATGATGTCAGAAACTTACCAAAGTGAGTGTTGATCAGGGCCCAAAATTGGTTTAGGCCTACCCTTACAAATCAGGATTCCAGCCCCTCCTTAGCCCGACCCCTAGGGTAAAAATTTTCGTACCCTGTTTGCAGCAGGGTAAATCAACCTATAGCCTGATTTGAGCACGGTAGTTTTAGGCTAAGCCTGTTTTGGCTACTATTTTGTGAGCTAAGTTTTCTATACTAACATAATAAAGCAGCACTCACAACAGGTTCTGACAGGGCGAATCTCGTGTAAGGGCGAATCTGCTCTTGTGTCAGGTGTTAGAATGTAGAACTGAACGAGAATGTGTGAAACTAGGCAGCAGGGTGATACAAGTAGGAAACCCTAGCAATCTTGTACCCCCTAAGGCTAAACCCACTATAGCCTACACAATATGAACATGTATAATGTTTGACACACCCCCATAGGCTAAGTGGGAGACAACCAGATGGTCACAAGACCAGTCAAAGCAAAGCAAAGCAAGCTCAGGGTGGATCTCAAGGAAACCACACAAATTCCGAGCACAAGCAAGTGGTCACAAGACTAGTTCACATGCAGTTTGATAATATAACAAGAGGTACAGTGATCACAACCTAACAAGAGTAAACATGCAGGTATATACATATAGAGATCACAGTACAAGCAGAGTCAAGAAGTGAGCAAGTGAGGGAGAGTAGGCACAAGGCCTAGAACAGTACAGAAACGCTGATGGTCACAAGGCTGAAGCGCCTTGGTGAACACATCAGCAGTGTTGGCCCGAGTGGCCACGTAACGCAGACGAAGCTGACCACGCTGCTGCAGCTCTCGAGCAAGGAAGTAGCGCAGAGCGATGTGCTTCGTCCTGTGCTCCAGTCTGTGCTCCTCACACAAGGCAATGGCGGCCTTGTTGTCAACGTACAGCACTGGAGGAGAACGAGGCCGTTCTCCCAGGTCGGTCAGCAGGTAGGTGAGCCAGCGTAACTCCTGTGCAGCCATGGCTGTGGCGTAGATCTCAGCCTCACAACTGGAGCTGAGAACAGAAGAAGAGCGAGTAGAACGCCAAGAAACTGAACCAGAGCCAAGGCTGAAGGTGTAACCCTGAGACGACCGCTGCGTAGCCTGGTCGTCAGCCCAAGAAGCGTCTGAGTGACCCGTGAGGACAACGTCGCTCCGACCTCCAAGCACGAGCCCCATGCTCGACGTACTGCACAAGTAGCGCAACACCCTCTTAGTGACATCCATGTGCTCCTTCCGGTGACGGCCGGGAGCGACATAGCGTGCTAGGATGCTAAGAGGGTATGCCAGGTCAGGTCGAGTGCAGGTCATCAGGTACATGAGGCAGCCCACAAGCTCTGGATACGGGCCACTCGGCTCTACGGACTCATCCGAAGGCAGAGCTGAGAGCGAGTGACCGGTAGGCAGAGGAGTGGGCTGAGGCGAGGAGTACGTGAAGCGGAAGCGCTGAAGGACCTGCTGCACCATGTGTGACTGAGTCAAGGTGATGGTGCGCTGTGCTCTGTCCCGGGTGATCCGCAAGTCAAGATAGCTTGTCAGCTCACCCAGGTCTGTGCACGTGTGTCTCTTCTGCAGCTCCGACTTCACGTGGGCGAGTGCCTCAGTGTCAGCAGTAGCAAAGACCAAGTCGTCTACGTAAACAAGAACGTAGAACGGCGGCAGAGTGGTGTCGGTGCGTAGAAACAGCGACGGGTCAGCAGTAGAAGGAGCAAACCCAAGAGCAGCAAGAGTAGTCCTCAGTGTGTCGTGCCACTCACGGGGTGCCTGGCGGAGACCGTAGACTGGCCGCCGGAGGCTCCACTGGGTACCAGGAGGGAACGACCCAGTGAAGCCAGGTGGGCGGCGCAGCCAGATCTCCTCGTGCAGGCTGCCCTGTAAGAACGCAGTGCTGAAGTCAAGAGAGTGGAGCTCGTAGTCACGCTGAGCAGCGACGTGCAGCAGAACCCGAAGAGTGGTCATCTTCGGGGTCGGGGAGATGGTCTGGAAGAAGTCAACTCCCTCTCGCTGACTGAAGCCTCGTGCAACGTAACGCGCCTTGAAGACAGGCGGAGAACCCGGCGGCCGCTTCACCCTGAAAATCCACATGCCACTGACGATGTTCGCCCCAGGTGGGGGAACCTCGTCGACGTAGGTGCCTGTGGACTTCCAGGATGCCATCTCTGCGTCCATGGCTGTCTGCCACTGAGAGGAGTAGGGACCCTCCATCGCCTCTGCGTAGGAGCGTGGGGTCGGGATGTCTGGTGCATCCGGGTCTCCCTCAGGGGCAACTAGCATGGACACGAGATGAGGCAAAGCAGCGGCAAAGCACTCAAACTCCTCCTGTCTGTCCTCAAGGACGTCCGTGCCAAGAGCACACTCACCCCCGACAGACGGAGGACAGACAGACTCAGACTCAGACTCAGCTACAAGGCTAGCGGCGTAGTCTAGACGACAGGCAGCAGCAAAGTCGACAAGCTCAGCGACTAGAGCAGACGCAGCAGAGGACTCAAAGGAAGGGTCAGTGACAGCAGTGGCAAGGAGACGCGTGACAGTAGGACTGGCAGCACGAAGAGAGTCAGACTCCGGGTGAGCAAGAGCAGGAAGAGAGGACGCTGGTGGAGACGGCAGTGGGACACGCTGTGGAGCAGTAGAGGGACGCAGGGTCATATAGTGAGTGCCAAGGACAGGAGGAGGACGCTGACGTGGAACACGACGACCAGCGCGGACAGCGCGGACAGGCGACTCTGGACGCGTCTCAGGCGACGGAGGACGAGACTCAGGCTCATGACGCTCCGTAAGACCTCCCGTCGGCGCAGTGTAGGGAGAAGGACCAGGAAGTGGAGAGACTGGCTGTAACTGTGACTGCGACTGGACAAGCGGTGGACTCAGTAGGGGAGGAGTAGGACCAGGAGAGGGCGGAAGGCCAAGAACCTGCTGAAGGAGCGGAACGTAGTACGGCCGTGGCCGCTCAGCACCTCCAGCTCCAACCCCCTCAGCAGGGCCAGTCCCAGCAGCTCCAGCAGCACCGCCAGCAGCAGCAGGGTCCCCAGCAGCTCCAGTACCAGCAGCACCTCCAGCAGTGCCAGCAGCACCACCAGCAGCAGCAGCACCTCCAGCAGCTCCAGCAGCACCAGTACCAGCAGCACCTCCAGCAGCGCCAGCAGCACCGCCAGCAGCAGCAGTACCACCAGCAGCTCCAGTAGCTCCAGCACCAGTAGCACCTCCAGCAGCGCCAGCAGCACCAGCAGCACCTCCAGCAGCGCCAGCCGCACCGCCAGCAGCAGCAGCACCTCCAGCAGCTCCAGCAGCACCAGAACCAGTAGTACCTCCAGCAGCGCCAGCAGCACCTCCAGCAGCAGCAGTACCTCCAGCAGCTCCAGCAGCACCAGCAGCACCTCCAGCAGCGCCAGCCGCACCGCCAGCAACAGCAGCACCTCCAGTAACTCCAGAAGCTCCAGAGTCCACGACACCGGGAGCGCCACTCCGGAGACTGCAGCGCCTAGCGTACCACTCTCGGAGCTGCTGGGGAGAGGGCAGCTCCCGCCTAGGAGGGGAAGCACTAGCACCAGCTCCGGCACCACTCCGAGCTCCAGAAGCACCTCTCCTGAGGCTGCAGTACTGTAAGTACCACTCACGCAGCTACTGCGAGGAGAGGCCTCCCCCAGGTGCAAACGCGACACATCGCCAACCTCTCCCGTCCAACGCAGTGTCGGCGAAGTCTCCGGAACGGAGACACGGGGCCAGAGGTTGAGCTGATGCGCAGCGTATCGGACCGCAAACGGCCACAGAAAGTGGGGGGCAGCCGCATGGATCAAGGAGGTACGAGCGACCTCCATGACCAAACCAATGCGGCGCTCAGCAACCCCATTCTGCTGTGGAGAGGCCGAAAGCGTGAACGACTGGCGGATGCCGTGCTCCGCACAGTAGGCTGCCAAGAGGTCAGAGGAGAACTCACCACCTCTGTCAGAGTGCAGACGCAGGACAGGAAAGTCCGAGTGGAACCGCTCACTGAGCTGGAGACGAGCAGCGCGGATCCAAGGGATCAAAACATCAGGGACCTCACCCTTGGTGCGCAAGGGGAAGACCGTGGTGTAGCGCGAGTAGTCGTCAACAACGATCAGGAAGTACCTCTCCTGACCCTGTCCACGGACGCGGGCTGGGCCCCACACGTCCATGTGGAGCGTCTGCAAGGGAGCAGTCGTCGGGGGAAACGAGGAGGAGTGAGGAGCGGCGCGCTGCCGCCCCTCGACACAGGGAA